ATGGGCTACAAGAATGTTAACCCAAAACATGTCTACAAGTTCTGAACAAAAACGGTGATAATTTTACAACACTTTGTTGATTTTTTTCAATATTTCAAGTTTGGATTTATTTGTAATTTTTAATTTCAAGGCATGAAATGTGCATACATTTTTTTACTTTCAACCCCCGAATTGCTGAATTACTTCTATGTCTGCAGGATATGTTTTTAAAATAAATAGCTATGAGGGATATTTCACCCGCCGGTGAAAAGAAATCGCAATCACCATTACGCACAACACTAATATTACCAAATTTGACAAGGGATGACGGAAAATCGTTCCACATTACATCACACTCCTACCCTTACGGAAACACCAACAACGAAAATGAGACTAATATTACGGTTCACAATCACGTTTACATCCAAAATTACAATTCATAATTTCGAATTGTAGCAAATATGAAATATAGGTATATCCATTTACCTAAATGTAAACGGATAAAGAATCAAAGTGGTAGAAGAGATTTGTGCGTTTGGCACAAAAAGTATATTTGATGTTGAAATTGTACTTAAAATCGGCAAATTATACTTTTGTACTTTTTAAAAGTAATTGTATTGAAAAAAGTACAATTGTACTTGAAATATCAACAAAGTACCAAACTCCACGTCAAACAGTGCGGACGTGTAAATTAATGTATGTATGCATTTTGTTTTTAATTATTGTTTTGGAATTTGTATTTACGTACATTTTATTTTTTACATTTTTGTCAATAGGACGGTTACCGAAGCGTAATCGAAATATATCGGAAACAAACACCAAAAAAAATTATGTTTTCATAAATAAATTTTTAAAATTGACATCGAGCCGGCAAAATACTAAATTATAAGTAGAAAGGTCGCTAAAACAGGTGGCGCAGGGGTCGAGCTATACTAAAAAATCGCATTTATAGTCCGATTTGATTCAAACTCAGAATTAGTCTGTTCCTTTGAACTTCGGACTAAAACATGTGGAACTGTCAAACTACAATTTTACTCTCTCAAATGAGAGTAAAAGGAGAACAGATGCATAAGTGCATGGGACTTCCTGTAAAAATGTCAGTCGGTTTGGTTACATGTCATTTGTACAAAACTTGTTTGGCTGAAATATCACTAACTAATTATTAAAATTTATACATGTTCAAATATTTCGTTGTTTACTTCCATTTTTGTACAGATATAAGGTCCTTTGCTTACACCGCCTTCTGTTTTTGTTTGCACATGCAAATCAGCTGATCGTTTGACACTTTTCATGAACTTACAGAAAAGTCCGGACTAAATCCTGTAAATTCTGACTAGGAACAGTTACTCAGTTACTCTCTCAAAAGTGTTCCCACTTACAGGTTTTATGTCAATAGGAACGACTTCCTATAAGTTCTGACTAAATCCTGTAAACCGGACTGCTTTTGGAACAGACTAAATATATACTCACTACAGTAGGATAAATACACTTGCCAAAAATGAGCCTTATAGCTGGTTCCAAAGTCGAGTTATGGCAAATTGAGTTCCATGCAATATGTCCTCATATATCTTATATATTAATACACATACACGATTTCTGTGGTACACTTTTGAGGTAATTAAATCCCATTGATTTTCATGAAACTCATATAAAAAGAAAGAGGAGGTGGTGCTTATGTGCCGAATTTAGTTTTTAAACCTCTAGGAACCACTTTGAGCAAAATATTTAAAAAAAATATTTACAGTCCTGACTGGTACAAGTTCAGCCCGAATATCAGTTAGAGAAGCAACATGACATCTTATATATTCATACGCAAACATGATTTTTGTGGTAGACTTTTGAGGTACTTAATCCCCATTGATTTTAATGAAACTCTTATCAAAAGAAAGAGGAGGTGGTGTAGATGTGCCGAATTTAGTTTTTAACTCCCTAAGAGCTACTTTGAGCAAATTATTCAAAAACACCTATTTACAGGCCTGATTGGAACATGTTCAGCTGAATATCAGTTAGAGAAGCAACATGACATCTTATATATTAATACGCAAACATGATATTTGTAGTACACTTTTGAGGTACTTAATCCCCATGATTTTCATGAAACTCATATCAAAAGAAAGAGGATGTGGTGTAGATGTGCCGAATTTAGTTTTTAACTCCCTAAGAGCTACTTTGAGCAAATTATTCAAAAATACCTATTTACAGTCCTGATTGGAACATGTTCAGCTGAATATCAGTTAGAGAAGCAACATGACATCTTATATATTAATACGCAAACATGATATTTGTAGTACACTTTTGAGGTACTTAATCCCCATGATTTTCATGAAACTCATATCAAAAGAAAGAGGATGTGGTGTAGATGTGCCGAATTTAGTTTTTAACTCCCTAAGAGCTACTTTGAGCAAATTATTCAAAAATACCTATTTACAGTCCTGATTGGAACAAGTTCAGCCCGAATATCAGTTAGAGAAGCAACGTGTCATCTTATCTATATATTAATACGCTAACATAAATTTTGTCCGCCTTCGTTTAGAGATTCTACCGAACCGATTTCAAAACTGGTTGAAAATAACGGCCAAAACCGTCGTTTAAACATTTTCGTATTTGTGTATAGATGTTGCTGCAACATGTTCAATTTGATATTTGGTTCGATAAACTGACAGTTGTCTCTCTCGCACCGCTCCCTTAGCAGTGGCACCGTGTTGCTTCTTTGTAAATAGGCATGGAAACAGTGTAGCTTTGGTGTGAAATAGAAGTATAAGCTTTTGTGAAATATGTTTATTTGTATATGCATATTAAGCATATTTAACTGATGAAAACATAAACTGTTTTTAAATGGGATGTTTACATCAATCTCATAGTAGTCTTATTTTAAGTTTGAGTCATTTTGCAGTTTTTATACTGCTAAATAGCACATAAATTACGTAATTCACGTAGATATATCAATATTACGTTCAACATTTCATTTAAAATGCCAGATTTCCTGCAAACACATTAGAATTTACAAAAAGAAATTTCACTAATAATTGCCTACTTTGCGTACTTTTCTCCTACCATTTTCGCACCAACAGATGGCATTCTTCCCCTTTCTCCGTCCTTCGTAAATGCAACCTTTTGTATGGGAGTGTCAAACCGCAGCTGTCCATAATTATCTAACCTTGTATTATTGAATCATGGTTTCGCATGTTGTTTCACTTCGCATTTGAAATTAAGCTTTGAAATAAAGATAAATATGAAGATGCCGACATAAATGATAACGATGAAGACAAGAATAAGGAGGAAAAAGTGAAGACAAAGACGAAAATGGAGACAGTGAGAAGTACATAACAGTNATTTGTAGTACACTTTTGAGGTACTTAATCCCCATGATTTTCATGAAACTCATATCAAAAGAAAGAGGATGTGGTGTAGATGTGCCGAATTTAGTTTTTAACTCCCTAAGAGCTACTTTGAGCAAATTATTCAAAAATACCTATTTACAGTCCTGATTGGAACAAGTTCAGCCCGAATATCAGTTAGAGAAGCAACGTGTCATCTTATCTATATATTAATACGCTAACATAAATTTTGTCCGCCTTCGTTTAGAGATTCTACCGAACCGATTTCAAAACTGGTTGAAAATAACGGCCAAAACCGTCGTTTAAACATTTTCGTATTTGTGTATAGATGTTGCTGCAACATGTTCAATTTGATATTTGGTTCGATAAACTGACAGTTGTCTCTCTCGCACCGCTCCCTTAGCAGTGGCACCGTGTTGCTTCTTTGTAAATAGGCATGGAAACAGTGTAGCTTTGGTGTGAAATAGAAGTATAAGCTTTTGTGAAATATGTTTATTTGTATATGCATATTAAGCATATTTAACTGATGAAAACATAAACTGTTTTTAAATGGGATGTTTACATCAATCTCATAGTAGTCTTATTTTAAGTTTGAGTCATTTTGCAGTTTTTATACTGCTAAATAGCACATAAATTACGTAATTCACGTAGATATATCAATATTACGTTCAACATTTCATTTAAAATGCCAGATTTCCTGCAAACACATTAGAATTTACAAAAAGAAATTTCACTAATAATTGCCTACTTTGCGTACTTTTCTCCTACCATTTTCGCACCAACAGATGGCATTCTTCCCCTTTCTCCGTCCTTCGTAAATGCAACCTTTTGTATGGGAGTGTCAAACCGCAGCTGTCCATAATTATCTAACCTTGTATTATTGAATCATGGTTTCGCATGTTGTTTCACTTCGCATTTGAAATTAAGCTTTGAAATAAAGATAAATATGAAGATGCCGACATAAATGATAACGATGAAGACAAGAATAAGGAGGAAAAAGTGAAGACAAAGACGAAAATGGAGACAGTGAGAAGTACATAACAGTTAGGTTAACTGAAAGGGTAAGAAAATGTATTATATTTTTGAAGTGAAACTTCTTTAGCGGGGATTCGTTGGTTGGGAGTAAATGGGCAATGATGCACACGGAAATAGTTGTCACGGAAACAAGTGCTTCTAATATATGTGCTACTATCTGACCCGGCAAACTTCGTTCTGCCCAAAATAGATTTTTTTATTAATTTCATTTCAAAAATTGTTATTACACCGGTATTATTTTTAATAAAAAATTAACGATTTTTCACTACTTCATTGTGTATACAACTTCAAAAATATATAATTTTAGTATTCAGTTTAAGGCTGCACGATACACAACATTTTTAGTGTTCTGTCCCGGAGCGTAAATAAATAGCGAGGACGGTTTTCCAACACGGGAACACGCCACATAGAGCTGACCATGTGAAAAGCATGGCATTTCTAGCTTTATGCCGCATACTTCCAACGACTGCCCTTGTGACTTTTTAATTGTCATCGCAAATGCAAGTTTCACTGGGAACTGCATACGTTTGAATTGGAAGGGCAAATCTGTTGAAGTTAAGGGAATCCGGGGAAGTAAGCATTCCTCTCCCTTGAACGGGCCTTTCAAAATGCTTGCCACTATTAAATTGTCCATTAGCTTCGTAACAATCAGTCGTGTACCATTGCACAGTTTGGAGCATGAAGATTGCGTAGCATAATAACAACTGACCCAACTTTGAGACGCAAATGATGAGGAGGCATTCCAGGCAAATCCAGAGAGTTTAAGAACTCCACTGGGTAATTTACTACTTCGTCTTCATTTTCAACGCGATCAATAGATTTATAAGAACGCAGATCTCCCGGAATTTGATTTTGAATCGTCCAATTCAAGTCGTTGACATCAATATTTTTTGCTGCTAAAATTGCGCGTGCGGCTAACCATTCGTAGTTACCATAATTTTGAGCGATATTTGGATATACACTGCTAATTAGTTCATCCTTACTTGAAGCGAATTGGCAAATCGCAGTTGGAATCGATATTAATCCACTGCAAGGATCTATCGGAACTTGTCCATTGCCGATTCGCAGCGGCTCTTTTGAAAAAACCTCTGCAGTTCTATCGTGTTGCAGCAAAACTCGCATATTGATGGTCAATGAAATGGTTTTAACAAACCTCCACAAATGCGATGACTTCAGACATGCGTTTAGCTCATCCGCCGCTGTTGATTTTGGAATCACGGGTAGTGTTTGTCTGAAGTCGCCCGCCAGCAATATCATCACTCCTCCAAAGCAACGATCATTATTGCGCAAATCTCTCAATGTTCGGTCGAGTGCTTNATCATTATTGCGCAAATCTCTCAATATTCGGTCGAGTGCTTCTAATGATCGTTTGTGGGCCATTGTGCATTCATCCCATATGATAAATTTACAGTTTTTTAAAACTTGTGCCATTGCTGATTGCTTTGAAATATTGCAAACAGGACTTTCGTGTATTTGCAAGTTTAATGGAAGCTTTAATGCTGAATGTGCCGTTCTTCCACCTTCCAACAGTGTTGCCGCAATCCCGGTAGATGCAAAAGCTAATGCAATACCACTTTGACCACGTATTGCTGCTAGTATTAAAGACAATAGGAACGTTTTACCGGTCCCGCCGGGCGCATCGAGAAAAAATATGCCACCGTTTCCATTATCTACAGCATTTATTAGTTGATTGTACGCACTGCTTTGCTGTTCATTCAACAGTGGAAAATTTGTTTGTACCTGTTGTTGCAAGTGAGTTATATCGTAAGCACGCTCGCGTTCCAATTCGCGATTCAGTACATCCCTTGCTTGACGACTTGGCGCTGGCATATGAACTTCAATCAATAGTTTTCCACTCATGAGTAAACATAAATCTTCAATAAGGACTAATGCTTCATTGTAGATGTCAGCGTTCATTTGCAACTCGAAATTTCTTGTCGCGAGTCGCAAGCGGTGCAAAATATCTTCTGCCATGTCATCTTTGTACGTATCCCATAATAGACGCGGGTTTGAAGGCTGACATGTCGAAATTATTATAGCGAAAAGTGCACGAACTGCAGTGGCTGGTGAGGAAGCTATTGCATCCGCTAGCGTTTGATTCCAGTGACTGTCGTGTTCAAGCAATTGCAAATGTTGACATGCTTCTCGAAATGTTGCACAAATGGTACCATCTACAGTCCTCAAAGATTGAAATGAAGTTGAACCGCGTACATTGACCAGAAGCAAACGTAGGTAAAAGCAATCATCGTTCTTTGGATGGATACTGTAAATTCTTCCCAATGCATCAGTTGAAAAAACACCTGGATAACCATCTACTGGATGGCCGTACTTCCTGCGTAACCATTTCTTCGACGATGCATTCCATGTATAATACCGAGGCATCTCAGAGTAAAGCAATGTTCTCGCGAACGGATCACTGGCGCAAGTTGCAAAGAAACTTGTTAAAGTGGTTGCTGGTGGTCTTTCCACTCGCTGTACTATGTTCTCTGCGTTGAAATAAACTCGTTGGCCATTCTCCAAATGAACTGCCAGATGCACAACAGTCGGATGGCGTTCATGTATTGCAAATGAAAATATTCTCCAGATTGCTTCATTGCAATTGACATATCTGCCCATTTGAAATTTGCTAATTTCATCTCGTTCCACGCCAATAACCGCCATATCGCTTCCTTTGGTGACGTATTTGCAAACATACTTAATTGACTTTATTGAACTGCAATACTCAGCATTTATATGTGTTTTGAATGCCTTAGACAAAATAGGCGAATATGGAACGATCCGTGTGTTATCAACCAAGAAATTCTTTCCTTTCAATTGAGTGATGGATGTTCTGCCATTGTCAGCGGGTGAGCGACGCCGATAGAGAGGGTATCCATCGTTTCCAGTTTGAGTTTCCGAAATAAAATCACGTGGATAGCGTTTTTTGCATTTATTGTCCGACATACAAACCGAAGATGGATCGTGTTGTCCGCATGGCCCATGAACCATATTGGCCATCACCACTTCGTGCAACTCTGGATCTATATCAACATCAGGAATTTCAGCGGAAATTATGTCATCAATTTGGTCAGGTGTAATTTTCTCCACCATCCAAAGCAGAATGTGTGCGTGGGGTAAACCTCTCTTCTGCCACTCCACTGAGTACATCCAGCATCGAACAGTACCATATACACGTTGTTTCGTAATGAAGTCCATCAAACATCTGAGTTTTTGTTTAAACACTCGTGCTGTGACGTCGTGGTGATCGCTTGGTGATTGGCCGGGATGCAACAGATTCGTAATGTCTGGCCATTTTGGATTGCAAGTAAATGTTACAAACAAATCCGGTCGTCCATAATTGCGCACGTAAGTCATCGCGTCCTGGGAGTACTCATGCATGTGTCTAGGACTGCCAATGTATGTCGATGGCAAAATAGTGAGTCGACCAATATCTGTAATATCCGCATCACTATTCATCGCATCTCGTAAGTGAACATACTCTTCAGATCGCAACTTCGACTGATTGTATCGAATGTAATTAAGTCGTTCTGTCTCAACTTTAACGTACATATCAACTGCATACTGTTGGAATAATCGTCGATATCTCAGTAAGTGGTTGTCATAGTTTTGTCGAATCATCATTCGATATGCGTAAAAGTTCATTGAACTGACCTTTTTATTTGTCTCGACACCTAAAAGTTTAAATTACATATATGAAGTAGCAAACAAACATTTTTTTGTACTAACCATTCATTGGATTTATCATCTTATAGCCTAAGTGATATCCGTCTTCCCCACGGCAGAACATGAGCGGATATTGCATTGCGTCGTAAGACCGATGTGTCTCACTTATCCGCTTTAGTGCGTTTTCAGTTCTACGTTTTATGACAATATCACGCGACTCCAAATTTTCTCCAACAACAACAACTGATATTTCGCTAACTGTAGGTGCATTATATTGTCTTTCATGAGTTCCTGTTGGTCTGTTGTCCGCATGTATGATTATGCTATGATCATCTGTTGGCATACGTTCCAACGAAATCGTAAACAGTTTGATAAGGTCATTGTGTTCGTGTAACATTTGCTGCAATTGATCGATTATTTCTATTTTCGTTGCATTGAAGATAGTACAACGTCGATTTAGTTCATCATGTGAATCTCCCAGAAAGTAAATTTGGAGATATTTGTGTTCTTGATCTGGATGCGGCAACAGCGATCCAGCGAGATGAAAAATTTGCCCATGAACCTGTATAATTGGAGGAAAGTTCTGTAATTTCTGTCAAGTATTGCGCTTAGTAAAATTACCTTAAACGTTGCATTGTAGTTTTGTTCATTTACAATTTCACCGCCAAACGACGTCATTTGAAAACAATCGTTGTACATTTTAGTGTGCTGTAAGAAATGCCTCGAGTTGGGAGATTCACCGTAAAGCAGCTGGAACAATGGCTCTGGTGGTGGAAGCAATTCTGGCAACTTAACCTTTCCCGCCGCGCAACATAATCCTGGCGGTTCTTTTTGAAATTTGACTGCATTGTAATATTGACAAACTACTGACATTTGACCGATTTGAACAGATGCGCTATATTGAATGTTTGGCTCATATCGAAAGCCTGCCCGTTCAGTGTTCACCAAAGAAACTTGTTGTTGCCGCTGTTGTCGTCGAATAATCGCATGTTGTAATCTTACTTCATCACTTTCGCGAGCACGAACTTCCCTTCTTTTCAATCGTTCTTGCTGATTGTGAACTTCCCTTCTTCTCAATCGTTCTTCCTGATTGTAAGTTTGGTTTACATCTTCTAACTGGTGCGCACGATTCTCCAGCAGTCTATTTCGAGCTGATACCCTCTCAATAACACTTTCCCTTTCTGTTTGACGTGCTCTGAAATTTCGTATTCTCCTTCTGCTGTGAGAATTCCGACCAATGTTACCATGCACATTGATTCTTGGCATCTCAACAAATATCTAATTGGAAATGATAATACATTTGCATACAGCTCACATAAGGTTTTACCAACCGTTAACTTACCTTTGAAAAATGAGCTAACCCAACTAAGGAAAAAGATGCAATTTAACGATAAACTATATATAGTCCAATGTAAATAGATATTCGCCGACACACTAAATCACTTTTACCAATTCACTCACTTTTTTAAACGAAATATGAATGAAACCAGTCAAAAAATTATAATCCACACATTCGCTATTTTTTATTTCGTAAATGTAAACTATTTAACACGAAAATATGCAATTAGACGATAAACTATGTATCTATTCCAATGTAAATTGGTATTCGCCGACACACTATATCACTTTTTTAAACAAAATATCAATAAAACCGCTCAGATATTGATAATCCACACATTCGCAACTGTTAATTTCGTAAATGTAAACTATTTAACACGAAAAGCTACCGCTTCAATTATTACATTAGAAATAATATTGTAAGCTGTCAAATGGAATGACCACCTACTACGCTCCAATTTATTTTCACTGAGTATAGGCTATTTTAAGTAAGTAAGTAAGAGTATTGATATAGTATACCTCCATAATGGTTTTCAGGCCCCTCCTCCAACCCTTTTAGATATATTCAGCCTCAAAAGTTTAGTACGTATGGGAGGTGCCATGCCCCATTTTTCGATAAATCTTTTTTTTTTTGGGTGAACATGGTACTGATATCGTATATCTGCATAGTGATTTCTATGTACATGCCATGAACGCTTTTAGGGATATTTAGCCTTAAAAATTAAGAACGCATGGGAGGTGCCACGCCCGCTTTTCCCAAAACTACTGTTTTTTTCATAAGCATGCTATTGATATCGTTAATCTCCTGATCAATTTTCAGATCCCAACCTTAAACGCTTTTATAGATATTCAGCTTGAAAAATTGAGTTTGTATGGGAGGAGCCACGCCCCCTTTTCCGATAAACCCCACTTTTATGCGTGGGAATGGTTTTGATATCATTTAGCTCTATACCAATTTTCAGCTCCCTACCTTGAACTCCTTTAGAGATAATCAGCTTGAAAAATTAAGATTATATGGCAGGTGCCACGCCCCCTTTTCCGATAACCCCCACTTTTATGCGCAAAAATTGTTTTGATATCATATAGCTCTGTACCAATTTCCAGGTCCCTGCCTTAAATCCTTTTAGAGATATTCAGCTTGAAAAATTAAGTGTGTATGGGAGGTGCCACGCCCCCTTTTACGATAACCCCCACTTTTATGCGTGAGAGTGGTTTTAATATCATTTAGCTCTATAGCAATTTTCAGGATCCTGCCATTTATTCTTTCTGATATATTCAGCTTCCAACGCTAAGTATGTATGGGAGGTGCCACGCCCCCTTTTCGTATAACTCCTATTATTTTGCGTTAATATGGAATTGTTATCGTTTATCTCCACACCAATTTCCAAGTCCCTACCTTAAACAATTTTAGAGATATTCAGCATGAAAAATTAAGTTTGTATGGGAGGTGCCACGCCCTCTTTTCTGATAACCCCCACTTTTCTGCGTGAGAAGGGTTTTGATATCACCTACCTCTATACCAATTTTCAGCTCCCTACCTTGAACTCTTTTAGAGATAATCAGCTTTAAAAATTAAGATTGTATGGGAGGTGCCACGCCCCCCTAATATTTTTTAATTTTTTCTTCGACTAAACCTTCGCGGGGTAACAACAAACAAACCCCCCTAAGGAAGTATTTGATTTGGTTCAGCCGTTTTCAAGTTTTAGCGTTACAATTAAACACCAAATCATTTTCATATATATAGATTAATTAACCAAAAACGTGCTAATAAGGGGTTTAAGAATAGGGTTGATATTAAGCCCAATACAGGAAGGAAAGTAAAGCTTAGTACATACATAGACGAAGAAAAGGTTAAAGGTAAAGGTAAAAATAAAAACTAAAACAAATATGCGTAAAGAAAAAGGTTAGTTTAAACACTATAAGGTAAAGGTGAAGGGGAATATGCAAAAATAAAGATAAGTATGAAGAAAAATATTGGGATGAATATTGATATTGCTATTGATATAATAATCGATATTGCTATCGATATAATAATCGATATTGTTATCGATATAATAATGGATACTTCTATCAATACAACCGATATTGTTATCGATCAAATAATCGATATTGTTATCGATAATGTTATAAATATTGTTATCGGTGTAATAATCGATATTTTTGTCGATAATGTTATCGATATATTTAACAATAAATAAATCGATTTTGGAATCGTTATATTTTGTGATATATTTATTGATATTTTTATTGGTATATTTATCGACAAAGTTATCGACAGCGTTATAGATTTAATATTCGACTCATGACATGTGATCACATTATGTGATATCACATCACATCAAATCATATGGCATCACATGACATGACATCACATAATATGATATCACATAATACGATATCACATGGCATGACATCACATGATATGACATCATATGGTATGACATGACTTCACATGATATAACATCACATAACATGACATCACATGATTTGACATCAAATGACATCACATTACATTGAAAAATATTTGTTTCTGTATCGACATTCTTACCCTCTCGACGGGTCTGGGTAGGGATAAGGATAGAAAAAAGATAAAATATAACCTTGAGCTTATAAAATTATATTAACTACCCTGTCGTTTTATTCACAATTTCTAAATAAGTAACGTAAGTTCCACTTCTTCTATGTGGCCCAGGTGCACTTATTTTCTCGATAGGAATTGAAATAAATTCTGCTATAAAAATATAGTTATCGAAAATTATCAAGTTACCGAAGTTTATGGAGTCATCGAAGTATATTATTATCGAAATTTATCGAGTTATCCATATTTATTGAGTTATAACAACGTGTAAAATTATTCAAATTGACCAATGTTAATTGAGTTGTCGAAATTTATAGACACAGAAAATTAGTTGTGGAAATTTGCGGATAGATATCGAGCTATAAAAATGTATGGGTTAGCGAAATTTGTCAAGTTAATGAAAATTATCAAGTTATCGATATTTATTGTTGTGTTTAGGGATTTTAGTATTCTTGAAATTCATTGAGTGTTCGATATATATCAAATTATCGAGCTTTATCGACAAACTGGAATGTATCGGTTATATTCCAAGTCCTTCCAACGACCGAAAGCAGGAGATTTTTCAGCAAGTAATTTTGTACATTAGTGGTATTCATCTAAACCGTGTTTTCATTAGTTATAGAGCTCAGTGTTACTGACTTTATACTACTAGCACGAGGATAAAGAAATTATAGAAACTAACTCACTTAATGGGAAAGAATTATATTTACGAAATATCTATTTAAATAAATATACATTAGGCCGGGTCGATTTGTGGGGAGGCAAAAAAATCGCCCATTGCTCTGTGAAAATCATATTCTAGGGATCAAAATAAGAAACTTTGCCGAAGGAACCATACCTCTAAAACGAATTCTGATGTCCC